ACTTCGATCCGCCATTACGTATTTTTGCAAAAGACGTATGTTAGAGGAAATGTCAAGAGAATCGGTTCAGGTATGTTAAGGCTATCCCTTCTTCTTTTTTGGCATGATCTATACGACACAAACGAAACGAGCAAATGCACAATTTTCATAAATGACTCTATTCATAGAAATACTAGAGATGCTTATGTTCTTGATTCCCCATGTGTCATATTATTCTATCATCTGTTCATGGGTCTCAGAAAATACGTAAGTTGAAAAAGTTTATTTCATGATATTAATCAGATGCATAATGGTCTTATGATACTCCGAAAGATTTTATTAACGTACTTCTCATGCATTGCATTCATTTACATTGACCCATGATCAGATGTCGTTATATACATGTATATGGGATATGGGAAAAGGTTACAGCGTTATATACGCACCACCACCTGATCACCTGATATACGTTGATGATTTGCCCACAATGGCCGAGATGATATGATAAGATGCTCTCAGAGGCTTGATTGTGTTATGAACACATATACCCATCCATGGTATGATATTTATGCACATATGCATGACATTATAATATTAAGTGATTCACAGAGTTGTTCAAATATACATGTTGAGTCTTTTACTCCATGTTTCTCTCATGTCTATTATTTTCTGATTTTCATTCCTTACATACTCGGTATATTATTTGTACTGACGTCCCTTTTGCCTGAGGACGCTGTGTTTCATACCCGCAGGTCCCGATAGACAGGTTGAGAATCCTCCAAGTAGGCTATCAGCTCAGCAGAAGATGTTGGTGTGCTCTATTTACTCCAGAGTTGCTTATTTGGTTAGTATCATTTAGACATGTATTGATTGGTATATTAGGGCACTGTCCCGGCCTTATGGTATTTATGTACTCTTAGAGGTTTGTAGACATATGTCATGTATATAAAAGATTGTATGGCTTTGTCGGCCTATGTTCAGTGTACAAGTAATTATTTTGGCCTTATAGGCCCGTACGTCATATGTATAAATCAATATATCAGTTTGGGTTGTTTTATGTCGAGTGTTCTCTCCTGTTTTATTCTTGTTATCTCATACGTCCCTTCTGGCCCATTTACCCATGTTGATGTAATGAGAAGGTTATGTTACGTTGGTACTCGGTTGAGTAAAGACACTGTATGCCGGTCGCGGCCCATTGGTTTGGATCGTGGCAGTTATGCTCTCGATGATAGGATAGCTAAACCAACTCACACTCACTAAGCTCTCGTGAATAGAGTGTCCATTAGACCAACTAATGCACAATAGGCCCTCATGGATGTAGGATCCACTAGACCACTCATGCACACTAGGCCATGATGGGCATAAAATGTACTAGACCAACTCATACACACTAGCCCTCGTGGATATGGGATCCAATAGACCAACCAACATGATAGTGATATCCTATTAGCAAAACTAAGCACACAAGGCAAACAATTGTATTAGGTATTTTTACGTCTCGACTTATAGAACAACGGGAAAAAGAGATGTATGGATCTTGCTTATAAATATTGAACTAACAACAAGTTAAATACATACACTGGAGACTCAATGAATTACCATAAAGCATGATCATTCCCAAGAAAAGGTCACTGTAGACTTGTGCAGACTTATTGCTTACTTTGAGTTAGGCCTCGTTTGTTTGCACTTAATGGAAGTCTAAATCTTAATCATTCAGATCTCAAACATTAAGTGCGTTTGTTTTTAAAGTCTGAATCTTATTTATTCAGATCTTAATCATTAAGTGTGTCTGTTTTTTTTTACTTCACAATCATTTAGTGGGTCTGAATAGACCTGTATGATTAAGATCAACAAAGACTGAATTTCATTAAGATGCTATCACATATTCATTATTAACTGCCGTCACCGCCTACCATTATCAACTATCACCATGCCGCCACTATCACCACCACCTCCACCACCACCACCACCACCACCATAATCCTCAATCATAGCCGCCAGCATTATCGACCATCACCACCCACTATCCCCACCACTCCGACCACCATATAGCATTCTCACCCACAATCAACACTCTCTACCTCAACTACCACAACTGACCACTCCATCACCATCAACAACCACAACCGGAACTGCCCATCATTATAACCTACCACCAAGCACCCACCACCTTCCTCAGTCACAACTACTACCACCACCCGCCATTATTAACTATCACCACTCACCACCACCATCCTCAATCATAATTGCCACCACTACCAATCACTACTAGCTACTAGCGCGAACCACCATCATCAACCAAAACTATCACAAACCACCGACTCTAGTCGGCATTCACCCGTTAGCCATCACCACCAACAACTATCATATTTTAAAAAATTATATATTTTATTGATAGAATATTGGATTAGTTAGTATTTCATTTGAATTTTATGTTATTAATTTTCAAATAAAAATAAATTTTATACATTCATATGTTAAAAATCAAACAGTCTTAATTATTTCTATTCACATCTTAATATATATCTTAATATATTCAGATGTCTTAATGTTAATACACATCTTGATATTCAAATGTGTATTCAGATTCAGACGTCTTAATCTTAATAAAAATAAATGAGGCCTAAGTTTGGTTCAGTTTGGGTAGTTTTGGATAGACTCGTTGAGTTCGTCTATTTCATACTGGTTCATATTGCTTATACACCGCAACAATTTACACAGAAACATTGTGGTAATATTATAAGGTGTGCACAAGATGTTCATTTCATTATGTTTGATAGCGTGACAATTCACAAGGCGGATTTAGGTACTTCGGTTGAAATAAGTATAGTTTTTCCATCAGCACATAAGGCACAACCAAGCACATAAGACAAATATGCCCCTCACACAAACAATGGCTGATCTATTAGACAAGGTTTGAAAATATCCTCTGTTCACCTATTGAGCCCTAAATATTCTCACTGTTATCTTCTTATTCAAATATACATCTAAACAATTAAAATTATTCAAATATGCCCCTCACAGTAACGGTGAAAGCCACGTGAGGGTTTATTTTTAAAGTTTTTTTAGTTGCTTAGGGGTATATTTGGACTATTTTAATTATTCATGGATATGCTTTAAATTATAAAATATGTTGCTGAATATGTACATTTAATCTTCCCAATAAAGATTTTTTTTTTTTTTGGGTAGAAAACCCCAATAAAGATGCATATGGATATGTATAGCTTAGATATCTCTTTCGACAAGAAAACAAAATTAAAATTATTCATGAAGCTTGTAAAATATAGATTAATTTTATTTAAAGATAAAAAAAGAACTATGTTTGGTAATTCACTTGTAAGCAAATAATTAGTACTGAAAATACTCATTTGAGAGCAGAGACGGATCTACTAAGGCAATACGGGGTGTCACGCCACCCGCAAACCTCGGCCGAAACTTATGTATATTTCTATGTATATATGAAAGAAATATGATATATACCAGTTGATGGCACCCAGATTTGCAAACATGTACTTGGTGCCATTGGTAAAATGCTGGATTTTGTATCTAAATGTTCGTGTTCGAATCCTAATCAACATTTTCTCTTAATGTTTTATCGCTTCAGTTTTAGGCTTTTCAGTCTTCGATACTTAAATTTTTTTTACTTCATTTTAGGCTTTCAGCCTTAGATACTTAAAATTTCTTTACCTTTTTAAATATAATAGTATCCTTTTCATTTTTAAACTAAAGAAACCAACTCCTTTAATCAAATACCAAAATTTCAAAATTCGAACCCATACACAAAAACTTTTTCTCCACATACCTTCCGCTTTTAACAAGTCCTCTGTATATACTATGTACATATTTGCATTGTGTTATTATTTCTATTTTAATTTTCCCTAACATTCTTTTGGTTGCTCAATTAATTGAAGAAAGAGAAAAGGAAAAGAATCAGTCAATGTATTGGTGTAAATGTGCCTAATGTATTAGCATTGTTTACAATTTGCTAAATATATAATATTAAACTAGTTTCAATTTCTAGGGTCATTAGTTTGGTAAGCCTTTTCTTATCTTCTCAAAAATGTTATAGTTATTAATTTTGATCCAAACTACCTTCTTCTATTTTTTGTGAGGTAATAATATCTTGAAAGTTTGTACTTTGCTCTAGATTGTCATAATTATTAATATATACGAATTCTTTTCGCTTGATCAGTTTGTCTATATAACCCGAAACGATGAATAACCCGAATCGAAATCCAAAATGAATCAAACCGATCAAATGGAAACCTTACTTTGATCATTTAAATAGAAATATGTCTATGTTAGTAAAAATAGTGTGTCACCCATAACCTCTAAATCTTGGATCCGCCTATATTTGAGAGAGATAAAATATTCCTAATAAAACAAGGGAAAAGCGATACAACTAATGCTAAGATCCTTATGGGAGTTTGGTGAAACTAATCCTAAGATCATACAGTTAGTACTTTTTTACTTATTGTACATGATTCTATGGCCAGTCTGTGACCCTGCATGAATTTTTCTTCCTTTTCTTTGTAATTTTTTATTTTCTTTTTTTAGAATTTTCAACGAAGTTATCCTCACTTTATATTTTTTATATTTATATTCTTCTCTCTTTATTGAAATCTTGATTCCTCCTTAACTAGTTTACCTTTTCATATTTACGTATATTGACAGTATAAGATAATCGTAACAAGTTATTTTCTTAATTTTTCAATTATTATATTATATTATATTGCAACTTAAAGTGTTGATGTTAACTTTTTTTTGTTTTAAAATAAATGTTGGGAGATTTTTTGGGTTTCATTTTCCTACCCACTGCCAGTCATATATTACCTATAGGAAATTTTATTTTGTGTCTCATACAACTGACAGTCAACTTTTTTGTCTCATAATTTTGTAGACCCAAATTTTTATGGACCTAGAAATATAAGATTGAGGTCCATAAATTAACGAGACAAAAAGAAACCTCGAACAACTAATATAAGTTGGATGTGACACAAAATAAAACTTCTCCTCACCTATTTATCCCCTTTACTTTTTCTTTTAACGCCCTCTACCCTTCTCTTCCTTTTGGCCTTTCGTGCGCCTCTCCATTAGATTCTCCCTCAGATTCTATCAGTCTATTAAGTTTTCTTTTTCTCTCTTTTCGATCGAATCGATATTTGTACGAACTCAAAATAATCATTAATCACTGCCATGACGCTTGGCTCAGCAGGATCCAGTGTTGTGGGTGAGCCGCCGATTTTGTGAAACCCCCTTGCCTTTTTTATTTTTTTAAAAATATATTTTCTTGTTTATGCCCTTATTGATTTTCCCTTCAAATATATTTCTATGCGTATATTATATTTGATGTGTTCTTTGGCTTGTGGATATTTAATGTCTCAGTTTTTGTTATATTAGGACTGTTTGTTCAGTTATTATCTGGGATTTTTCTCATTTATATGTTGAAGAACTGCCTGATCAATTGATTTGATTAGCTAGGGAGTAGACCTGATTGTGGGTCTTTTTGGGTTTTACTGTTATTTAAAATTTGCTGCAGTTTGCAAATTTTACATTAATTTCATATCATCATAAAAAACATTAATTTTACCATCAAGATGAGTTTTTCCCCTTTTGGAGCTTCATATATATATATGTGTGTGTGTGTGTGTGTGTGTGTGTGTAATTCATGGTAGAGCCAAAAAATGTGAACTATACAAGCTTCCAATAACATCAACTAGTTGATTAAATATTAACTTAAAGTTAAAGTGAAGGCTATGGTGTATAGAGAAGACGTGTGTACGTATTTATCTGATATGGGTGCGGATCTAGAGGTTCATATCCTTTATGATCTAAATTTTAAGATTCGGGGGTATGAATCCAAGTACGGGTGCGATGATTCATCTAAAATAATTCAAATATCTAAAAATAGAGTTATATAAATATGCCTAAGTTATGAAACTTTTCAATACTATGAGAAATAACTTTGTACATTTATCTTTAATTTACAAATAAATATTGATTGTTGTAACTTTTGATTGGAACTCTTGTTCTTACAGAAATAAAACTCTTGAAGAATTAGCAAATGTGTCAAGCTTTCACTACATTGATTTGCTTATAGTGGCGAATAAAGGGTACTATATTTTTTAACACATCAACTCCAATTTAAAATCTCATTTAAGAACTCTATTACTCCTGTACTTCCCCAATTTCCCTCGCCGAACGCTCGTCTTCTCATGTCCCTCTCTGAAGCTCTTTGCTTCTCTCCTCAAAAACTACATGATCCATTCAAGGCCTTCCCCAACGGCAGCATACCCATGCAAATATACCCTAGCTTTTGTTTTGATATCGGAAATCAAATTATATCTTGTCTCGAATTTCTCGGTGGCTTTTGGTCAAAGTACCCAAAATTGATTAACCAGATCCGGTATTGATCCCACTCCCACACTATCGTGGGTATCGTACCGATACGGGTGAAGCACCGAAGATGAAGAGTTCAAGCAACTTAGTTTGGCGTGCATGATGGGATTGATTACTTTGTATCATTACCAGGGTTTGTGTTCAGCAATTGTTCTTGGTTTGCATTTCTTGCTGCCTTGTATCCTAATCTCCTATTTGTTGACATTTCTTGGTTGTAGTTGTTGGAATTCCTGCTCAACATGCTACAACTTTCCAAAGTGCTGATTGATTGCTCTTTGGGAGATATGGCACAATCAGTTCCTTTCTGCCTTTTTCTTTTTATCATGGAACTGTGTGTTAGACCTATGCACAATATAACCTGATTGTGATTTGTGCTTCATACATGGACCCTCAATAATTGTCCTTATAATAAAAATATGGACCCTCAATAATTGCACAAAACACTTTGAAATTTTGCTGCTTCTTGATGGGGGCTCACTGTATGTTATGAAAACAACTACTAGGCATCAATCCCAAGCTAGTTGCAATCTCGTGAAACTAGTTGACATGTGCATAAGTTGGCCCATACACCACGGTTATTTAAAAAATGAATCCTCACTATCCGTGTCGCTCCATTTAGATCCATCCCAAAGCAATATTCAATAACTCGGATTCTAAAAAGCTAGAAGTTTGCCACACTTTACTGGCAAATAAATCTATATTAAGATCAATACATTCCTAGCAAATGGGAGCTAAAATAAGCATACCACTGACTGTTTGATGTGCTAGCAAATTTTTTAGATATCATTTCATATGGGAATGGGTTCTTACCTTATTTTTATTATCTGAATTGTTTGACTGGACCCTTTAAGCGTAGCAGTAAAATGCCTAACAATTAATTTGCAGATTCATTTGGGCAACTTGGGCAAGTTTAAGTTGACGTTAGAGAATAAGTTGAGACTAGATTAGGCTACTAACCACTCCGAATAGAACATGGCCATAGGGATGCATTATTTCAGCCCCCCAATTTAGATTCAACTTTTGAGCCTTTCAACAGATTTATTGGTAATCCATTTCTTTGGTGGTACCCTACCCTTGACACTCAGTCTTTCTTCGTTGTGTAATAAGGTCTTATTTTGTATGGACATTCTGGGCAGATTGCCACAAGTCGCTAGTCGAAGGTTTAGATGGTGATACCATCACCTTAGACGTGATTTTTTCTTATTCACTTGTGTTGGAGGCAGAGAGGTCAGCCCTATGTTCTGGCTCTAGTATTTATGAATTATGGGCAAATGACAGGAACTGAACCCGTGCACGGTTGTCCGATCCTTATGTACTAACGGGAAAAGTACAACCTGTAAATCCTTTGGATAAAATATCATGATTTTCATAGATGAGAGGAGAATGTTGATGAGAGCCTATTAATAAAGTTTCAGCGTGTTTTACTTCCCATACCGAATAGCATATTCATGTTGGAGTTACTTGTGAGCAGCATATGTACTTTTCCCCCCTTCCCTTGGCTTTACCTCTAGTTAGTGCCTCAACAAAGAGACATAATGCATTAACTTCATTTTTGGCTTCCAGCACAAGCTTTGTGCGGAAGATTTATTAATATACTGATACATGTTACCTTCTCCAAAAAAAGGAAAAAAAAGAGACATAATGTATTTTGGAGTTCTTTTTGGGGGTAAATGTAATGCCTTTTGGATCTCTCCGTCCTTTGACTATTTTCTGTCTTTTCGCAGGTAAGTAAAGATACTGTTAACCTATCAAATGAAGAACCTTTATCCTGCCATTTTACCAGAGCTCTACTATATTCAAAATGTATATTTTCTTTTGCAGAAATTGTAAGATTGTGATGGAGAAGTAATGGGTATGTCAAATTAGAATGCACTATACTTGCATGTGAACCTCTTTAAGTCTTTGGAACTGATAATATGAGTTGACGAGCTATGTCCCTTCTTACAGATCTCGAAGTTTACTGGAATTTAGATTCATTATTTGGCATCATATGATAGGAACCGGAGGAAACTCTAAACCACAAACTCTGTCTTTGTTATTGTTCTGCCATTTTGACTGTGTACATCTAGGGTGAAGCCTTTTCGCAATTCTGAACTGTTTTTCTTGTGAAGATTTCACTAACCAAAATTTCAATTTCCTTGCAGTGCCTCGCAATTTTAGATTATTGGAGGAACTTGAACGTGGGGAGAAAGGTATTGGAGATGGGACAGTGAGCTATGGGATGGATGATGGAGATGACATTTATATGCGTTCTTGGACTGGCACCATCATTGGTCCTCACAATGTAAGCTTTCTTTTCTCCTTTTCACTTCCTACCATCTCTTCCTTTGGATATAAAAGACATGAAATGCTAATCCTATAAATTGTTTCTACGTATTGGATCATTGGTTAATCTGTCCCTAGATCAAGAATGCCACTTAGTTATGTTTCAAGTAGAATGAATGAGACATGAACTGCAACTTTTGTATTTAAAATTTTATATATTCCCCTTAGTTTCTATTCAAGGAGAATGTAAAAAGACATTTATGATGAACTTTTTGGGGTCTATAATTTTGTTTGTTCACTGGTCCCACTATATGCATTTACGTAGCTCCTATGTCTTTCACAGTTTAAAACTAACTTCTTTTCCAGTCTGTACACGAAGGTCGCATTTATCAGTTGAAGCTATTCTGTGACAAGGATTATCCAGAGAAGCCGCCAAGTGTCCGATTCCACTCCCGAATTAACATGACATGTGTCAACCATGAAACAGGAGTGGTAAGCAACCCATTATTATACTGGAATCTTAGCTTGCATTGTCAAGCAAAATATTATGTGACAATTTGCATCGTCAGAATTGTTACCCGTATGCTAAAAAGATGATTAAAGTATTTTGACTTTTGTCCACCATGGTTGAATTCAACACCTGCAAAGTATATTTTTAATGGCATTGCAATGTAGAAATGGTACTTGTTAAACAAAAGTGGAGCAAGTATCGTATAGGAGGTACTAGTCAAATGCTTTATTCTCTGGAATAAAAAAATGTTTCTTTTAATATTTGTTAGAGGTGCGCTTGCAAAATCTGACATGTCTAGAGGTGCGCTTGCAAATTCTGCGATAATATTTGTTACTTGATGCTTTGTATACTAACCTAATATATTATGCCCTGTTCATATTTATTGTGGCAAACCTGTTTTTTTGAATTATTAAATTGATAAACTACTTGATGATCTGCTACATTGTATAATTTATACAGGTGGAACCAAAAAAGTTTGCTTTACTTGCAAATTGGCAGAGAGAATACAGTATGGAAGATATACTAACTCAACTGAAAAAGGAGATGGCCTCTCCCCACAACCGTAAACTAGTTCAGCCACCTGAAGGCACCTATTTCTAGCATTAAGGACAATAACATAAGGTCTGTCAACTATGTGTGAAATTGTACTGCTGCGTTGTCACTACGGGAATTAAATTGTAAAGGGGGGAATGCCTGAAGAGGTCCCCTCTTACCTCCAATGGCATCTCGATCCCCTCTGCTTTTGTTTTTCAAACTTGGTCTATGCTTGCCGTTTGATTATTGGATTTGGTTCTTGTGCTATCTTAAGCAACTCTTACCTCCAATGTCATCTTCTGCTTTCCTGTTTATAAACTTTGATCATTGGTTCCGTGTGCTGTGTGAATCATTTTTATCTTATATTGTTTTCTTCCTTCTCTCTTTTTGCTATGACATGTTTTCACAAGAAAGAAACGTCCCGTTGAGGGCTTACGTTCTTTTCCTATCTCAATGTTTTCTTTTGGCATCTGTTGCTTATGCGTTGTTACAATGGACGCTCAATTCAGCCTTGATGCTTGTGACTTCAATTCGGGAATTGAGATCTAATTGATACTTAAATGCATATCCAATTTCTGAAGATGGGTGTCTGATACCAAGTGTTCATTTTGTTTGAGGGAAACGATCGCTTCACCTGTTGTGTCAATAAAAATGTTGCATCTTTCATTCTACTGATTATTGCACTAATACAATGTTACTTGTCCTCGTCATTAATTTCTAATCTAAATCACAAAGGCAAGGAGAAAATCGCAAAGTCAAGAACTTGCTATTTATATAATGTGTCGTTCCAATTTCCGCCTTAGTTATTGTAAGAACACCTTCAATACACCCCTTTCTTCTTTGATTCATTTAATTAATAGAACAACTAAACCAAAAACAACATAAGATATTCCAGATTTCAATACAAATTCATTGACAAAATTAGCTGCTAGTAGAACAATTCAAAATCTAATAAAGTATAGAAAGAGACTTAACATTTTCTCCTTTTTCTTTCTTCCTTTTTTTCTTTGTTTGGTCGTATATATATTGCTAGTCCCAGGAGTAATTGAGAGTACAAAATAAATGTAGCCTATGACAAACAAAAGCGAGTAAACAACATCAGATTTAAATTGCATACATTAACAGTGTGAAGAATTTTTATCTGTCAGTATAATTACTCAATTGTCTAGGCTATTTAAGTATTTTTCTCCTTGAAGGTTATTAGTGAAGGATTGCATATAGATGTTCGTAACACGCATTGAAAGATAATAACAATCCTAGGCAGAACTTTTCATGTTTAAAATTTATTTATATGTCAAAAAATTATTTATAAGGGGGATCATTTGGTTAAAAAAAAGGTTATGCAGGAATTAGTTATACAGAGAAATCCTTGCATTTTTTCAATCTTAAAAAGGTGAGAAAATTCTTGTTAAAAAATGGAACCAAATGAATTGATAGCCCTTCAACTAGTTCGTACAGTAGCCGTTCAACTTGGGAAAAGGAGCTGGCACTCTTTCAGGGCAGCCAATTAGAACAGCAGACTCCTCTTCTGACTTTTTGAAAAAAGATTTTCTACAAAATCAGAAAATGGATTACTTAAGTTGAAAAGTAGGAGAAAGTTCTTTGATGGAAAGCTTCCAATTATGAAAAGGGAAAAAGAAAATCTCCTGAATTTCTTTGACATTTAGTTATTCTGAATTATATATTGGTATGGGACCCAAGGGATATGAATTTTGAAGAAGGCTTTTATATCAAGCTAAGTTGGTAAAAGCGTTTATGAAAAATTCTCTTTCTTTTTATAATTTGTGATCATTGATTTGTTAGGCACAAGAGATTCTTTTTGCGGCTGCTGCTGTTTTGTTTATTGGTTAAAGTTAGACAACAAATGTACAGTGAATGCATCGAAATAGTACTGAGTACTCTATTTAAAAACCATCCTAGTCAACCATTAATGCACCAATTATGTAAGCAAGAAAAGTATTTGTCTGATTCTTCATTTTTTCTTTGCGAAGGGTCCTCTAAATGCAAGTTGGGTTAGTGACATTTTTTATATATCCATCAACTTTCCTTTATTGTTTAAATCATATTCTCCATTATATTTTTTGGTTATTTGTACCTTTGCCTTTGGGCAAAGTTCTAAATTTATCCCTTATTTAACGGAACCGACACATGGCACACTCTGAATAAAAGACCCAACCCACCACTCAAAAAAACCCATACCCAGCCCAAATGAGGTATATATGACCCTTTTCCATTTTTTATTCAATCTTCTGGTCCTTCTCCTCCTTCCACTATTGCAACCAGAGCTACAACACTCAAGTATTAATCTTTCTTCTTCTCTGCTTCTGTAATTTTTTTCTTCCTCGCCTTTCTCTCCATAATATTTTTCTTCCTCATCAAAAGGTAAAAGATTGTGAGCTAGAGATAAATATGAATTCACTCCGGCTTTGGGGAGCCACACTAACAATAGGGATGCCAGCAGGAATTTCGCATCCCCTACAACAAAAGTGTATGACCCAAAATTTAGATCTAGGTTTTTCTATTTATAGTGAAAAGGGTTAATCTAAGTCAATATTAATAATAGATCTAGTATAATTATGAAGAATACCATACGTGTGTTGTTGGATAACAATGTCTTGGAACAATAATGGAGTAATAAATAATTCAAGAATATGATAGAAAACAATAAATGTTATTTAAGTAAATAATAAAATAAGAGTCACCCAACAAGGTTGAGATTTTTCAATGATTCTTCTGACTATGATAGCTAATGATAAGCCTTTGAATATTTCTATTCTTCTTGGATCGGGAAGAAAAGATAGATAAGATGTAAAAGGTCAAACTTTGTATGTATATGATAAAGAGAGAATCTTCAGAGAATGTCAATATTGTTCTTTACAAAAAGTGTTCGATCTCCTTTTTAGGATTACATCTCTTCCTGTTTATAAGGGTATATGAGTCATAAAACCCTAGATAGTATAATAGAGAGGAATATTCGCTAGAATATTCTTTAGAGAATCTAAATTTTTAAACTACCCGTTATTGTACACAGCGAATAGGTGCTCGTCCTCGTCTTCTACCAAGCCACCTCGATCTCGACGATGACCTACCTTCGTTATATGACCTCGACCCCTTGATATGTTATAATGCCAATGCATAGTTACCTTAGAAGGCTTTTACACCGTTGACCAAGTCAAATATGTGATGTGAAGCTTTTTTGACCATACAGTTAGTCCCCCCGCTTACCGAGGGCGTCCCCGCGGACGAGTTTGGTGAGCGGATAATAATAGTCGTTGTGAAAAGCAGGCACCGTAGTGCTTCGAGGGTCGTATATTTCAATATCATAATCTTCCCGGGTAACTTATTAGAACTATCTTGTCAAGGGAAGGATGTGACGTCATGACGTTATTCGTCATGATGATGCTTGTTCCCAATGTGTTGCGTCGATACACGCACAATCTTTCATTGGTTCTGGTGTTTCGATTTTGGTTGCAATCATGGTGAGCCATTTCGAATTCGGTGCGTCTTCTCTATAAATAGGGAGTACTTATCATCATTCAAGCTTTACTTCAGAACCACATTTGCTTCCTTTTGTTTTTCTAACTCATCATCTCCGAATTGTTTTCTCTATCTTCTCAGCTTCTTCCTTCTAACTTTCTTCAAGCTCCATAGTCATGTCAAACTTAACTCCTGGTGTTAATGAGGAGACTCAACCTGCTCTGATGGCTGTTGTGGTCCCTATTTAGGGAGGAGACACCATCTCCACAGCTGAAGAGGAGGTTCTCCCTTCAGTAGAGGAGATTATCCCTCGCAATCTTGAGGCAAAACATGATTTCCACCGGATGCCGGAGGTGATGGTTGAGGTTTTCCGGTCTTCCATGATGGCCAAGCGCCTAGAGGAGTTCAAGGCCAAGTATGGCCTCCATGATCAAGTGAAGCTTATTCCTGCCAATAATGACGAAGTGCATGCTCACCGTCCTAGGTACTGCACTCTCTACGCCTACCGGTTCACCATTAGCTATACGTTCCCTCTTCCTCCACTGGTGGAGGAGTTTTGCCGCTTTTATCGGGTTTGGCCCGTTCAGATCGCCCCTTCATCTATAAAGTGATCAAAATGATGTCGAAGTTTGCCAAGATGGCTAGTGTCGAGATCACCGTGCGGCATTTAGTGCATCTATTTGTGCCCAACTTTTACCTGGGGACGATGTTGAACCTTCGACATCGCGAGGGCAAGTCCCTAGTAGTTAGAATGGATGACAAAAGTAGTCGCCAATTTTGGCTCGACTTCTTCTTTGTCAAAATCGAGGTCGTCGTGGATGATGTCATAAGTTTCCCTGAAGCCTGGAACCGCACTCGTAAGTATTTGTATTTTGCTTTTACCTTTTTAAATAGTCGTGTACTCTGAGTTTGCGAATTTAATCTTTCTCGTTTTGCAACTTCTGATCGGCCTCTTCAGCTGGTGGTGTATCTAGCTACTGGGTCAGACAAGTCATCCCCTGCACTACAAGGATTCGTGATTGGTCGAGCTTCTGGCAGAAGTTCAAGCCGGTCCTCCCCTCGACAGGTAATTTCTTCTTTTGGTCGATGTTGTATTTATACTCGTCTACTTTATCGTGCTCATTTTTTTATAGTTATTATAGGTTCTGTCGGGGGGGNAACGTGGCTTCAATGCCTTATTTTTTAAGGAGGAGGGGTGCCGCTCCTTCCACTTCTGCCCCTAGTTCAACTTACATGCCCACTATTCCCTTGGCTCCTCCCCGTATCGAAGATGAAGAGGCTTCTCCACACGACGCGAATCTGAGGCCTAGGAAGCGGAAGGTCGTAAATATGGGAGACAACATACACGATGGCAATTGATCTGTCCGGAATCCCTCTTGAGGCCATGGATCATGGCCCTATAGTGACGTCGGCCGAGGGGATATACGGGTAGCCTAATAGGTGCCTGACTTGGAGCAACTTTACTTTGCTACTTCCCCTTGACCTCACGAGGCAGTTGAGAATGTAATTAAGGATGCTCCTTCTTCTCCCAGGTGCGGAGAGGCCTTATCTTCTGGTCCAATTCTAGAAGATTCCCGCGTTGACAAAGGGAAAAATCTGATGCCCACCGAATAGGATGAGCGGGTTGAGCATGATGGTAACGACTCCGGCTCTGACCTTAACCTTGAGGATCTTGAGATGATCGATAGCGGGACTACTCAGGTCGAGGTTAGGGTAGAAGGGAGGTCAAGGACCATTATAATTCACGTGAATCATGATTTGCTAAAGGATACTAAGGACATGGTTAATGCCCTCAGTCCCCACTATTCTGAAGCCGAGCACAAAACTTTCCAAGGGCTGAGAGACAGCACCCTGTTA